GGCAGCTGTATCATACCTGTAAAAAGAAGAAAAAAAAGGGAAGTAACTTGAAAGCAAAAGAAAAGTAGTAGGTGGTGAGATATTTTCACTAGCTAGCAAGGATTTCTTATTAATTTTCTTTTTTTTTTTTGTATTTGGAGCCAAAGGAAATCCTCCCCCTCCTTTTTGTCCAGGGTTTTGTCCAAGTTAGCCTCGTTGGGGTTGAAGGATGGGCCCTCCTTTTGCTTTTGGTAGTAGGAGAAGGAAGAGAGATGTAGTAGTGGTTCCTTATTCACCAATTCTCTACTGATCAAATCTGAGAGGGATGACTGTTTGATGAGTTAAAAAGAGGGTTTTGTTGTGCAGCCTCAATTCAATTTAATACATGTATATATGATCACGAAGGTTTATGCTTTGGGACAGTTTGGATATATTCAAAATCTCACTCTCTTACTGATTTCTTCATCTTATTATATCGTGTGCTTTAATCATTCATGTATATATATGCTTGAAGCGCTATTGGGGTGTGTCGGGTGTTGTTATAGTGTTCTCACTCGCCTTAGTACAAGTTTATTGTCAAGTAACGGTTGAGTGTATTTCCGCGTACGGTGCCCCAAGCACCTTGGCGGTCCGGGCCTAGCAAAAATCTTGACTAAGTGAACTCGTCAAGTCTATATCCCTTTAGGTCGACTCGAAAAACAGTTCTAGTCAACCCTCTCATTGAAGACGACTCGCCAGGAGTCTACTCGACCACTTGTTCGATGTCTTACGAGGACGACTCGATGAGCGTTGCTTTTCGGCGAAGTTAAAGGATTGTTTCGTCTTTGAGTCTCTCTCTCTCTCTCTCTCTCTCTCTCTCTCTCTTTCTCTCTCTAGCCCCGATATTCTTCACGACTCACTCGTCGGATCACGTCAGCACTGTTATATCTCTGATCATTTCTCATTCAATGCCGAAGTGATACATCCCTTACTCGCTAGCCGATATATGTAAAGCAGGTGCTGACGTGACAAATCTACCATTACATCCTAAGTACTAGCCGATATATGTAAAGCAGGTACTGACGTGACAAATCTACCATTACATCCTAAGTACATATACATATACTATTCTACCTTTTAAAGGGCTGGAATCTTGATTTCCAAATCTAATCCCACATGGCTACTCACAATTAATTAACAATAGTAAAAGTAACTTTGGAATAAGATGCATACCTGCAGATGAACCAGCTTTCGCAGTTGGTCATGTAACTTAACTCTTACACAGTCTAACACTGGGCAAAAGCAGTGTCTATTTTATCCAAAGTATTTCAGACTCTTCGATAAAATACTGAGGAGACTGAAAACTTTAGAGGGGGTATCTGTAGACATAAAAAATTACCTATAGGTCTCAAACTCAGCTCAAGACAAAGAGAGGACAAATAACGTTATCATCTAAGTCGGAGAAGACCATCCAACGGAAAAGGAAACGAAGAAGAACACAAAATGTAATTCAAAAAAAGGACTTGGAGCTGCCTCACAGTTGGTGAGACAGTATCTATTGTCTCGCATATCTGTCTCGCCAACTATGAGACAGCTTCTCAGGATCTTAACGTGTTTTGTGGGGTTTTGTGGGGTCTACTTGGCTCCATAATTGGTTGGGAACGCTCATTAACGTTACTGGGCAGTTTTCATCCTGGAAATACGCCCAATACCCACGAAAAGTACGGCATTAACACACTTTAAGGTAGTGGGCGGCAATTACAAAGTCCCTGAATCTATCTCCTTTAGTTGAGACAGTGGACAACATCTCTTGCCCACTGTTTTGACTCCTACTTGACGATTATGGCTCCCTACCCCTATATATATCCACCTACACACTTGTGCAAGGTACCAAGGTGTGGGCAACAGACAGAGAGACTGGCATTTGGCGAACTTTGAGAGCAAGAGAGAGTTCTTCATCCACTTTCAAGCATTCTCAAGAGTCCTTTAGTGTTTCTTTGAGTTCAAACTTAGATTTGATCTTGAGAAGAGTACTTGTCTTACCTCGCTAAGACACTTACTTCTGTTATTGTTTCTCCTTCGAAACATTAACTTCAAGTCTTCTTCGTATCCAATTTGGAAACGTTGCTCAGTGGTCCGTGGATAACACGTCCCTGGCATAAGCAAAGAATCTCACGCAAGCAGAGTCTACTATGTAGGAGTTTTTGTGTGTGTTACTAGGGAGAACGGTTTTGTTTTCTTTGTAAAGGAGAGATTTATATGTGTAAAGCTTATTCTTTTGTTTCTTTTAAACGATTTAATAAAAGCAACAAAGAAAATTATTCCCGAAGCAAACACCATGTTTAAAGAACCAAACATAAAATCAAGGAAGAAAGCGGCCCCTTCATCAATCCTCAACAAATTCATCCAAACACGAATATATAACTGACTGTGTGATCACTAGTACATCAACAGTTTGGCGTCCACCGTAGGGCTTGTTGGCCTTCTTGTTTTGATGATGTTTAACAAACAATTTACGACTAATATTATTTATCTAGTGTATGTGTTTATCTATTTATTGTAGACAAACAATATGTTGGAGGTTGGATGGATTACGCTTCAATGATCAAATCCAATGGAGATTGGCGGAATTGTGGAGTGAAGCCTATGCAATTCAAATTGAAGATCCAAGTTCTAGCTTCATCCGCGAGTTTACCAAGTCAAGCTTATTGAAAGATTAAGATCAAGCTTGGGTAACATTAGTTTAAATTTATATTATGTATGTTGGTACTTTAAGCTCAATCATATATACACACACGTATTTGGTTTCTATGTATATATATATATATATATATATATATATATATGCATGTTTTGGTTTCTAAGTTTATATAAATATGAAATTACATATTTTATATTTGTTATTGTGTTTTGGTTTAATTTCATAGATATGAAACAAATATATATTCATATACATCCTCATATGTTTCATACTCTATTATGTTTAAATTTATATTGCATAGAATATGTAATTTTGTGAAAATATTATTTTATTAGTTTTTAGATTTAACAATAATCATATACATCTTTTACTAAGTCTATATAATCATTTTGTAATGTTTCAAAACATGGTTAAGCTAAAATGTTAAGTCTTGGACTATTTTACAAAATAATGATATTTTTTTATTTGGGAGGTCCTTTTTTATAACCATTTTTTGTAGCATGTGTATTATCATGTCTACAATCATTTTCTAAAATTTTATATTTTTCTAAATTTATTTGCTATTTTTAAAGGCAGTTTAAAAATCAGCATTTTATTTTTAAACCTGGATATCTGAAATATCAGTTCGCAATCGACCGCCCTTGGCGCTGCGGTCGACCGTCGATAGTCCAGAGACTTGCTCTGTTTTTCAACAGCTTGTGGTCGACCGCCCTTGGCGCTACGGTCGACCGCCAATTTTTCAGAGACTTGAGATTATTTTTCAGAACTTCCCATGGTCGACCGGATGTGGCTCTGCGGTCGACCGCGACTTTTTCAACCTGTTTCCCAACAGCTAGTTTTGGCTGGTCAGCCGTCGATCAATAACGGCTATATTTCTGCACTTTCCAGATTTTGTGGGATTTGATTTTTTGGTCATTTTGCTTGGGTTTCTACTAATGTTTTGGGTTTCTATAAATACCCTCTTGCTCTCATCTTTCAAAAAACCAAGAGAATGTTTTAAGAAGGTTTAACAAGGGTTTGAAGTTTTCATTAGTGTTTGATTAAAAAGCTTTTAAGTGTTTGAGAGTTTGTTTTGTGAAAACAATTTCACAATGGCTTGATGAAGATCATCCATCGGTGTTTGAACATCCAACTCTTCTCCCTCACTCTCTTGATCCGTTGAGAAGTTTCCCTAAACTCTTTTCTAGCTTTATATCTATTTATTTGATTATCATCTTATTAAAGCTAGTTTTATATTGAGTTTAGATTTAATTAATCTCATTGTTACACACGTACACTTGAGCTTATTGTATTTACATTCATAATATATTTGGGGTTGTGAGAGATAGTAACATTGAGTTGTGCCTAATTGAGTTCTCGTTCATTGTAGAGAACAAATTATTTGTTGTTATTGTGCTTAATTGTGAGGATCACCTTGTAATACACTAGTACACCAAGAGGAGTGTGTGGTGAGAGACAGGATCGTCCCAAGAGGAGTGGGGTATGTGGTAATACCTAGAGGTAGGTTGTAATTCCTAACGCTTGAGGGAGACACGGGCTAGAAACCAACACTTGAGGTGGTAGTTAGTGTAGTTACATTGTGAGTGTGGATTGTAAAGTTTTCGGTTAGCTAGAAAACCGTATTGTGAGGTGTAAATGTTTTTTGGGTAAGCGTAGAAAACCCGGTGTGATAGTGGAGATCTCCTCGAGGTGAGGAGCGGAGACGTAGGTCGTGGGGACTGAACTTCGTGATTATATCGTTTGTTTGAGTTTGCATTGGCGCAATTATTTTTGTGTTTATCATTATATCGCCTTTGTCAATTGCTCATTGTTTATATTGCCCACTATCTTATATATCTTGTTTATAGATTGTTTACCCTTGTGTTATTTATATATCCTTGCATATATTTCACCATATATCTCATTGCTAGGATATATCTCTTTGTTTATATTGTATTTTCTTGCTCATATCATATTGTATATCTATCTTGTAAGAATAATTCACCCCCCCCCCCCCTCTAGGGTTTTTTCTAGTGGCATTAGGGTCTAACAGGGTATTTTTTTTGTTGAGAAAACATGTCGAGTTCTGAACAAGGGTCTGATCAATCTCACCCTGCAGAACGACGTCAGAGCTATGTTACCCAAGCCCAGCTTGAAGAACCAGCTCACAAGCTCTCTCAGTCTCTCCAAGAGCAATTCGCTACCTTTACTAGCGAACTTCTTAACCGGCTTCCATAGTCGCCTCTTCGTTTTCTTCTTCAAGAAAACATGTTAGACCCTGAATATGAGGCTGATTAGTTCACCCTGAACAACATAGAAGTTGTATCAGTCAAGTTAAGCGGAGTTCGGAGTTGTATCACTCAAGCTAAGAAGAGTTTGGTTTTGGCTGAGAGGAATCGACATAGTCGTACTCCTCTATAGCCTTAGCAACCATTTTGGGAGTATTTATCAGCTAGCCATCTATAGGATGGAGGAGCTCTCATCACCTTCAAAGCTTCTTCCAGGGAAGATCAGCTTCTAGTGGTCTTTTTAGAGGAAACAACTCCGGCTTCTTGATTGCCAAATCATGAGAACAGCAAGAGAATGTCTCCTTCCGTTGTTGGGATAGCCTCTATTCTAGAACCTTCAGCTTTCAAAGATGTTGAAGAGTTGCCTAGTATTCTCTAATCGTGTCGCACGACCTACAAGAACTCAATTGGGGAGACTCCATTCAAGCTAGCATATGGCACTGAGGCGATCACTCCCGTCAAAGTCAACATGCCAACCATCCGATTACAACACTTCGACGAGGACTCGAACTCATAATGACTTCGGATTAGGTTCGATCTCTTTAGACGAGACCCGAGAGAAAGCACTCTGGACCCAATTCACTAATCAGCAACGAATCGCCCGCTACTACAACAGCAAAATCCGAGCAAGGAAATTAAATGCTGGCAACATTATCCTCCATAAAGCTGCTTTCGACAAAAATACCCGAAGAGGCAAGCTAGCCCCTAACTAGGAAGGCCCGTACACGGTCTTAGAGGAGCTACGACCTGGCACCTATCGACTAAGGGCTCCAGACGGGGGAGTTTTGCAACATACCTGGAATATTGAGCACTTGAAGCGATATTTTCAGTAACTCTGTAAATTTCATTCAGTCTTCATGAAATAATTATTGAAATTTACTCGACTATTGTCTCACACTCTTGCAGTGCCCAATCTACGCAGGAATTGTAAGCCATTGTTGCCTTTTCAGGAATAAACCCAAGGCATAGAGTTCAGATGTTCAGTTGTCTTCGACAAAAAGACTTGGGCAAGTCTACCTGTCAGTTCTCATCGACAAAGACTCAGACATCTCGCCCACAAGCGACATGACATGAGCCCGTCGTCTCGACCCCTACTTCGGTTGTTTTACCCCCATCAAATTCTATACTGCGAAGTTAAAACTAGGCTTAGATCTCTGAACCATTGTTTGTAGAGGTTGCTATGTTTTACCGCGGCACCTACTTTGGTTGTTGGTATTGGTTTTTTTTTAATCTGAAAGTGATGTGCGAATTTGAATAGCCGCTTGCCATATGCATGCGTTCCTGCGATGGTGTACTTTTTGTACAATCACAAAAGCAGTGATTTGATCATGCATCTGTATTATATTGACAACCTCATAACCCGTCACCGATAGATGGTTGCTGGTCTGCTTGAAATCACAAGTGAACGAACAACTGTAACGTCCATCGCTGCCAAGGCAAAGAAATATCTCATCAAGCTAACTGAAGGCGCGTGGCCGGTCACGGGAAACCACATAAAACCTGAACACCAGAAGTCGTTATCTTGCTGCCCTGAGACAATTCTCCTAAAATGGGGGAAAATAAATTTGATTACTGTTGTGATCGTCCACATTCAGCCAGACCGAAATTATTTCGGTTTGATCTTGCGGCAAGTGCAGAGATCAACGAGGTCATGCGCTCACCATCATTCATATAGCTCAAGGACGCTAAACTTCAAAGAAGGGCATTAATGGCGTAATCTCAGTGACCGCGTTGCAGCTACCAGCAATATGGTAAACCACAGCCAACAAAAAAGCCAAGAATTGCTCCTCATGATAATAACATCAATCATAAGAAGCTGGCTGAACATAGGATTGATATCGTAAGACGAATCAAAGCCACAAAGCAAAGCTGCTCCCTTGGTCAGCATAACGTGATTGATCAACGCTTTATGTCACAGAGACAAGAAGAATAGTAATGACCAGGGGCCTAACCTAAGATTTTGCTATTACATACAATGTTACGTCAAACCACCTTAAGGGTATACAATACACATATATATTAAGACCATGTTTTTTTTCTGTCGAGACTTTGTACTACATCAAACTACCTCAGAAAGAAGACCCTGAAGACATATACAATCTTAGTTCAGGGTAGTTTGACATCATAATGAATTGGCTGCCCCTCCAAACACCAGTCTGGATTTGCGTCTGGATTTGCATCATCAGGGACGCTGTATGAATAATTATGATTCTGCAGCATAATTAGCTTCTGCGAAAACAAATAATAAGCACAGTTACAAATTTTTTGTACTCAACAAGATGGTAACCATTGAGCGGAGTAAGATATTCCTATCAAAGACATTATTTAGAGAGTGAACATAAAAAAATTGACCGAACTTGAAAGGGATACCACTGGAAGTTACAGATCAGTACACTACTTTGTCAGGAAGAACTTTTATAATACTGCATGCCGCATAAATCTACATACCTAAAACCACTGCTAAAATAAATATGAATGGTTACATACATTGGCCAGGCCACTACTTGCTCCCATGCAGTCTTCCCCAGGCCTAATACCGTGATAACCTTCCGGAAGTCTTCCAATTACGATTGACATGTTTAATTTCATATCATGATCTCATTTCTTAAAGAGATCGACAAATTTATTATATTTCTGTTCAAGTTGTTTTGAACGTCTAGCCTTAGTGAGAGTAATTTTATTATTTGCTTAAGAGACAAATGATAATGATATGCAAAAACAGCATTTTAAATGTTCTAATTACTCACTCTTAAGTGTATATTTTATTATTAAAATTATCAAATCTTAAGAATATAAAAGTATTTTATTACACGTGTTGGCCGCTAGCAAGGTAATATATCATACCTGTTAATAGAAGAAAGTTCCAAACGCACTTACAGATTAATCCAAAAATACCTTAAATTGGTGATCAGTATGATATAGATTAGGCCAATAAAGCTTGTTGCATGGGTAAATCAGGGGTTATGGTAGGTACCAAGTTCAAGACCACATTGCAGCCTCTGCTCAAAGAAAGTACAAAAGGAGGAAAGCACAAACATGAAAAAAAGGAATTATGAACAAGAGATTGCCACATAATCCTTAAGATGAATTCCATGATAACCAACCCATGTAACAAATCGCAGAGCAAGCAGCTTGAACTACCCAAATGTGCAAGTACTAAATGCTAAATTGCACAAAATCTGCATGAACCCACAGAAGAGATCTCTATTGGTATCCAATATTGGACATAGATCAATATTGCAGTGAGACAGTGCCCCATTGTCAGATTAATCACGTCTCACTGTAATATCGATCAATGTCCAAAATTGGTTACAGCACAAAACTAAAAACAGATTGTGGCAAAAAAAACTAAATCAGCATAACAAACAAAGAAAGGCAAGGGAATTTAACAGTAAGTTGCCGTGTAAGATACATGAATTCAAATTTCACAAATGAGAGCGCTAGGAATATATGGCATGACTAAAAACAAGTGAAATATATTGATACACACATGATCAACAAGGATTAGCATGTGCCTGGGAACGGAGCCACACACCAGGGTACCATTTGGGGGTAATGCTAAGTGTATCACAAATTCCACACTAATTTTTTAGTACAAGACACAAGTTGCTTTTAAAAGTAGACACAGGCTGGCTATTAACGAGGAAATGACCGCATGCTTGTGTCTTGCGGTACCAAGGTTGTATATGACTAATAAGTTTAGCATCATCCTCAATTTGGGAAGTTAGAAAAATGAAAGTTGACACCAAAGCTCATCCCTTACAGAAATACGGTTGGGTGGATTCACAAGGCAGACACCAAATAATTGTGAGAAGAGCTAAATATTTAACAAGACGGCTTCATAAACCATATCTTCAACTTAACAATGACCGCAAATAAATCTTCGTAAATTAAAATTATAAAACACCAGCACTGCAGAATAAAATGTACCTTCACCACATAATTGTTCGACCCGTGCAACAATGTGTTTGCCATAAGTGTACTTTTTCAGAGCTTGCAGGTGAACTTTTGCGCGATTAAGCAAGATCTCTCGCTGCTTATCATTACATGTTTCAAGAATCTTCTGAACCACATAATTTGCAAATTGATCTTTCATCATAACCTAAAAGACAAAACACCAGAAATATTGATTTCTGAAATAAAATTGCATCAATAACTATCCTATTAACCTGCTATATCACAAATCTCAGTGTCAATGTGAATCACAATGTTAGCTAACATAAATAGAAAAGGTTCATGAAATTCAAAGGAAAAAAAAAGTCAAGAAGTCAATGGATAATGCTTTAAAGGAAAACGATGTGATTAAGGCCTGCACTAGAGTCTTTTAAAGAAAAATCATGTCAACGTCCCTATTAGATAAGTTCTCTAGGGCTTATGTCACAGATTTATTAATAAGTCAACTTATAAGATTTCTACTTAGTCTGTCTAAGCTGGCCTTCCAATTTAGATGTTTGTTAGCTACTTACAAACCCATTCTAAAAGTCCTTCCACAATCAGGTCTGAGAGGTTAATTAAAATATATGCATGCATACATGCAGAGACGGAGAAGACTGTTTTATTCATAACAGGGATATCTACATAAAAGATGTAAAGGGAGTTTAATAAAAATGCAAAAAGAAAAAAAAACAGTTTTTGTTTTTCCTGTGAAATTTCAAGGCAGTCATTTGCATTAGGACCACCTTACCTCCACCGTTGTATACTTGAATGCATGCACAAGCACAACAGTGCGCAGACCCATACTCCGACCAACACCTTACAGTGCTCATCCCCCACCCCCACCCCACCCCACAAAACACACACACGAAAAAACTGACCCACAAAGGTAAAATGTTTCCAAGGACGTAACATAAAAGCTTTAGTAAACAAACATAATCTAAAAGTCAATACGGATTATCATTTCAAGATAGAACTACCCAATCTTACCAATAAGTTGTCATTTCCTTCAGTTTGACCCACTATTTCTTCAATCAGAAGATCCCTCTCTGCAGAACTACCATGTTCCAAACACTTTTCAATAACATTTGATGCAAACTTGTGCTGGCTCATTTGCACAACTTGTCCAGCCAATTTTTTAATAATTTGGCTTCTTTCAAGTGATTTTCCTCCCTCTAATACATGCTGAAATGAACACAATAGATTAAGCTTTGCTATGCAGATAAGTAATTTCATTGTCGCGCAGAAAAAAGCACCAAGAAGCAAGAATTAAGGGGGGGAAAGAAATAATAAAATAGATTAAAATACCAATACAAAGTAGAGAAACCCTGAAACAGTATAAAGAATTTAAATTTGTATCCTCTCCACTACAAAAAAATAGTGGAGAGACCACTACCTTATTAATAACCGTTGATTTACTTGGTGAGAGGATATCGTTCATTCGAAATCTAACACTCACCACAACCCTCATGAATGCACTCGCTCCTAATTTGCACTCAAAAAAAAATCACAACCATCCACTAAGTAATCAACAAGTTAAAAATATTAAAAATATGAGTTGATCATGCAATAAAACGTGAAACCAGTATCCCCCACTAAAAAAATCTTGATTTAATATCATGGTTCATGGAATAATAATTTGGGCCATCTTCGAAGAAGGTTACTCTCCATCAGCTCTCATCTTAATGCCCTCTTGTTTTGTGACGTTAATCTTCCCTGTGTTCTGATGAGGCTTATCTATGAATCACACATCTTAACACCACGTTAACAGGAGCCATCTTCCCCCACAATCATCAAGTCAACAAAATACCAAAGGAAAAAGAATTGCACGAGTATTTATATCTAAGGGAAAATTTTGGCAGCAGACAGCCAATTTGGAATGATCGCTTGTGCCCTACACATAAGACGCTAATAACTTCTCAAATCACAAATTTGGAAAGAGGCAAAGACAGTTATATATGGTACATTCTTGCAAACAAATTTCCATTAGAAACAAGAGCAACCTGAGAAAAATTTGTGAAATTGTGACATATGACAAGGGAATCACAAGTTCAAGAAAGGAAAAATGGTGGATACAATATACATGCATAATATACTAACAAAAGTTTGAGATTGTGAATGCAGAATGGACAATAAACCACTTATCCAGGACTGAGAATATGACGTTCACGATGGAATGATGAAAATGTATCTGGTCTTAGAGATGGAACGTATGCCAGAGGTAAACAAAGACTACCTGAGTAACATAATTGCCATACTGGTCCTGGGCAAGAGTGCAAGCAGACTGCAAAATCTCATCCACAATACACTGACTCTGCACCTCATCAGTACAATGCTCCAGCACTCTCTGCATCCACCAAAAGAATTTAGTACAGACAAAACAGGTTAGGGATCAAAACAGTTCCTATGCGGCTAGCTGTATTTACCTGAATCACCCGGCAACCATAAGGGTGCATAGAAAGCGACGCAACATTACCACGGAAAGCAGAAATGATAAAATCAATTTTCTCTGATGGAATACACTCAATACACTTTTGAATTACATGATTTCCATTCTGGTCACGCACACAACGCATAACATGTCCATCAAGTTCATGGACAAGCTGTGTTTTCTGCTCAAGATCAATCACTTCAAGTGCCTGCAGAGTCGAGCAGAGAGGGAATACGAGAAACAGTACAGACTTAGGTTTTCTGCCATGTTAATTTACTAACTTTTGAGTTCCAACAAAATTAAGCGTGAAGCAAATCAATGCAAATAAGTAACAACAGTAGGTAGAACCGTAGAAGTTCAGGTGATAAATAAAAAAGCCTAGCGGAGTGACAGTGTCCAAATTACAGTTTATGTTCTTAATAGAGAAAGAGTACCCACATAAAGGAAGAGGTTTTGCTTTGGCTTTGGTCTGTTTTTGTTGTTATTGACATCCTGTTGAGCTTTGTGCTAATTGTTTGGTTTTCTTTATCTTTCCTGGACTTGTGGGGTTTGCCTTCCCTTTAAACTTATCTACAATTAAGTCATGTAGAAGGAAGCAATTTAAACATTATGTAAAAACTTTCCAGCTGGACTTCACTTGATCAAAATTGACTAGCTAAACACTATCAGAAGAAAAAGAAAAGACCGGGCAATGCTCATGTGGTTTACACAATAGCAATACTGCAAAGCATCTTAGTGGACCAAATAGCTAAATGACAACAGATAACTGTTAGGATCAGCTAAACAGAAAATAACATATCATTACGCTAAGAGATATTAGTGGATGTTAGAGAAGGCAATTGAACATCTCACGCTAAGATCTCTTCATGTAATATCAGCGCAATATTTTCTTATTAACAAAAACCTACTTTACATAAGTTGGTCATATTATTCCAAGGATAACGCAGTGGTTAAGGTAGCAACAATATTGTGGTAAATAGATGAGATACAATTTTATTATGTACCGCTTGCTGCTAAGCCTCAGTGAGAGTGTGCAACATGCATATGTGAAAATAGAACTGGACCAACTACACATAGCCAGAAAGTAGCAAGAGATAAAAGCACCTTTTGAATTACACGACAGCCATACATCTGAAGACTCAAGGGCAAGACATGACCAACAAGTTTATTTGCAAGTTCTTTTCTCTGCTCAGGGCTTCCATATTCAAAGAACTGCAGAGGGGGGAAAAGATCAGTTCAGCAGCCTTCTTTTCCAATAATGAAGCACACAGATTGAAATGCATGTGCATGATGTCTGTCGTGTGTGTTTGTATATTGAAAGAGAGAGAGAGAGAGAGAGAGAGAGAGAGAGAGAGAGAGAGAGAGAGAGAGACGTTTATAATACAGTACCTTTTGAATTACATAATTCCCAAATACATCAGTCATTAATGTTGAAGCATGGGGAAGCACTTCTTGAAAGACAGCTGCCTTCTCTTCAATAGTACATGTTTCTAGCTTCTGCTGAATAAATCGACTCCCATGTTGATCAGCACTAATGTCAAAATCAGAAGATAAATTAGTGAATCATGCTACCATACAGAAAAGATACACATAAATTAAAATAATCCGGTAATCATACGGTCATACCTGAATTCAACAATGCGCCCAACAATATCTGACAGTTCATATCTCCTAGATTTGCTAGATTTCAGCTCCTCAAGAAAAGAGGGAGGTTTTTGTTCATCAAACTTTTCTCGCCCCCTCTGTCCTTGCCATCCAGAATAAGCACCTCCGGTTCGAGGTGAGTTGATTGAAAACCGCATATTGTCATTTCTCCTACCAGATGGACTTGCACTGGCCACAGGCGACCCTTGGTATATTGGACTACCAAGAGGAGAGGTAGGGTACTGCATCAACACAGCAACATTCTGGAGACCTCCAGGATAGTCTGGGCTGGCATTTCCGTCTTTCCTGACACCTGAGACGTTGATGGAACCAGTTCTCAGAGATTGAGGCCTATGATCAGGTGCATGTACTTGTCCCCTTTGTTGATCATAGTTAGCTAGTGGGCCTCCCATAGTACTTCCCCTGGACGCTACATGATCATATTGACCTATACCAGCATATGGATCTACAGAAGGATGCTGAAAATAAGACATGTAGATAGGATCCGGAAATGAAGGTTGAGCTGCAATACCAAGTTGTCCATAGAGCTTATAGAGATTCTGCATATCGGCCATAGGAGTTGCACTGTATCCGGTTGAGACGGCAGGCATTCCAGGTCCAAAGTTTGGAGTGGCATTTTCAAGAGGCACAGGAACTGCGCCATAGGGAGAATATCCGGTTATAAAAGGAGGAACAAGTGACGTATTCAATGCATAACTACCCATAGCTAACTGCGGAGCAAACAAACTAGAGGGCTGCAGGTTAGGGTGGTATGATGCTCCATACGCAGCATATAATGGTGGTGCGACTCCAGCAGATACCAATGCAGGTTGTACTTCGGATGCCGGTAGTTTTGACTGGCCGTGTGAAAAATGGTCCGCTGAATTGTTAGTATTTGGTGTTCTTGGATTAGTCACCAGAGAGTGACCCGGGCGAGCTTGAAAAGAGGAACCTCGTGCTTGCAAGCTGCTTTGTTGAGGGTGTTGTCGTGCAAGTTGACTTCTGTGTCCACCATTAGATATCCTTAAGTTCTTTGTCTCATCTTCAATACTACCAAAACTAGCACCAACCACACTGGTATGACAGTCCATATTGGTAATCGAAGTGTTTGTTTGTCCTTTCTGCCCAGCGGATGATGGCATCAACAAAGAAGCAGAAACATCATGCTTTGGGTTCGATTCAGCTGATTGAACACATGCAATGGGAGCATGATGACTGATTGTTTTGGACTCTGCTACAGACATGCTGATTGAAGAATCTTGTGCAGAGTTTAAGGCATCCAAATCTATTGGTTCTGTAGAACTATGTCTTGACGGATGAGTTTGGTTACTGTATATAGGAGAAGGAGTCCGAGGGAAATCTTCCTAGCAGAGTTCAAATAGTCAATCCATTACAAAAGGCGTAGTTATATGTGTACAGAAAATGAAAATTTAAGTATCAAGCGTTAGCATTAACAAGTCAAGAATATAAAAAACTAACACAAGCTACGAAGCGTTATCACCAAGTAATTTTACAGTTTCCTGACCTACCATCTAGAACAGCGGATTTCAATACCTGAATCAAATCCACGAGACTTTTATGACGTCCTTGCAAAGAAGATGTATGCTGTCCAGACACAAATGCAGAACTACTTCCTGCCTTCTCATCACATTCAATTTTAGGTGACTTGTCATCTTGAGGTTTCTCCTCATGAGCGGCGAGAGCAGGTCTGGACACAAAGGGCTCCTTTGTACTATCATCAAAGGATGACACCCTCCAATCTTCCCCCAGAGCACCAACATTATGGACCAGTCTTCGGTTATCTCGGGACAGAAGAGGTTGAGGGAGCCTGGGGTTTAAATTCACATTGGAGTGATAATATGCAAGATAAGCCGGATCAGATCTTAGTTGCTCTTCGGACTCAGAGGTTTCAACTGCACTAGTTAGGTTTTCAATGATACCTTCCAAGCTTGAGTTTTGATGCCTTCTTAGGTCACCAATGGCCAAACTTGAGCCCTCCATGCTAGGGGGTGCACTACCACTCCTGTTGGGGCCGGTGAACTCCCTGTTCCCATTAAAACTATGTCCTTGTAAAAGCATCCCCAACTCTTGTGCAGTCATGTTACTCGCAGATGAGGTATATGAAGTTGCGTCCCTGCTTGAAGGCCAATTCCTGGATCTGCTGCCTCCAATTATCCTCATTGGACTCTCCGTCGTCATTTTACTCAGCTGATACGAAAGTGCTTGTTATAGACGCAGCAAGAGATGTCAAACTCTATAGTGTTCCCTGCAAGTAACCCGACCGCGTCAACACAGAATGATCAAATTAACAACTTCAAATTACATCTTTGTAAAAGGCCCATCGCTACTATTATAGAGAGAACATGGGAACACGGTTAGGATCGAAGAAAGCCAGCGTTGTTTTATTCCTCAACTGCAAACTATAAATCAGTTCACATGATGTTGTGCATAAAGGAAAGGGGCGCGCGTCCGGAGGCAGACAGGGCTAACCCCTTCACCTGGCTCGTGAATGCATAATCGTCAAACTACACGTGTTGCAGTGTACTCAGGAAAGTCAACAACCAAGTAAGCTACCCACCTCCCCTCCTAGAGACACCAGTTAAACCAAGAACCTGAGAGCCCCTTCGCTGACCGGAGGGGACGGGCCGACTACATTGACGGCGCAAATTCAGCAGATTAATTAGACAAACTCACCTGAGCTTAACAGAGGCTATGTCACGCTCGGCTGCCTAATTAGCCGGAGTTTTCCCAAGCGTTACATCGCGAGAAGACAAAGATACACCAAAAGAAGACGACGCTGGACTTTTGAAAAAAGGAAAGGGGGAAAAAAAGAAAAATATGGAAGTATGATTGTTGAAGAAAGACAAGAGGGAACCAAACGCTGAAAAGATTCTCGCTCCCTGAGAAAGAAAAAAAAAAGCCAAGTAACCAGCCTCCATTATTCGTGCGACGCGAAAAACAATAAATCCGAATAGAGCCGCCGTTAGCAAAGTACAACGCTTCGAAATAATGACGCGAATAAATAAAAACAATAACAAAACAACAGAAGGTTTAATTGGTAACGAAGCAAATGCGACCGGAAGAAGAATAGCAGTCTCAATCACAAATTAACTTCTCAAAGCGGAGGCAAAACCTTCACCGGGTCGACCCAAGCTTCTTCACTCTGCGGTCGAATCCCCTAAACCCCCGATCTCTTCTTCACTACGCGCTTCTCGATCCAACCATCAACAGAGCGAAGAAAAAGAAGAGGCAGAAAAAAAAAAAACCCAACCTTTTGGACCTCAGGCCGAGTGAAGAAACAGAAATAACAAGAGAACGGCTCCTCCTCCATTCAAGAAATGGAGCCGATTCTCGAAACCCTACGGACAACTTCACAGCTTTCCCCAAAAAGTTTTTTAACAAAAAAAATTAAAAAATAATAATATAACGGAAGACTTGAAAGAGAGGGTTTTCACCTGCCCCCCAAAACCCTAGCTCCTCGAATAATCGTCAATATCCCCCCCTTTTCGCCCTGTGAATTAATTCCTGTTTGGGAATTTTGATCAGAAAATGAAAATCTTCATCAGAGAGAAAAAAAAATCGCTCTCAAGCTTTCTCGAAAGGCGAGGAAATGTTTGCTTCTAAAACCCTCAATTTTGCCGGGTTTCTGGGGGAAAAAAGAAATATATATATATATATATATATTTTTTTTTTTTCTTTTTCTCGCTTCCTACAGAGAGCTGCCGAAATGACAAAAACAGCCCGCTCCCAATGACATGCTTCGTCCTCACGTCACGTGAGACTCAGCAACGGGCAAGCGTGACGTGGATTAATCCGACCACAACCTGGCGCCGCTTCCGGACGGCTGGAGGGAGGATCGGCCCGAACGGACGGCTCGAATCGCTTAGGTGTCCCCGCGTGGCCAAAAGGGTTATTCTCGCCAAAGTTGCCTGTGTTGATTGAGTTGACCGAGACTGAAGCTTTGGGCGACCTATTATTAAATTATATATTTAAAGCCCACAAAATAGTATTTACAGAATTGTGAAATGTCAGTTATGCCACCCGGCCCCTCCCGAATTGCGCGATGCTTGCTGCGTCTCGCGGATGTGCCTCAGCCATTACGCTGTGTAAATGCGGGTAACGGCGTCAAGTGGGAGGTTCGTGACTTGTCGTGCGTAAAAAACGTAGGATTACAGCGCCAAGAGATTCGATCCCCTTTGCCCTTTCGCCCCACGCGTGGTTCTAGAGGAAAAACTACGGTTGCGGGTCCCGATACACGTGCTGCCGAAGAAGCGTGAGACCGTCGTCTCTTTGCGTCGTCCATACATTCGGCGTGCTTGTGGCTCAACTCAAGTGTTGGGCACTCGCTCTTGGCGCTGTGCTGTACAGCACATAAAAGCTGTGGAAACGGACCCTAGGCAAGCCTAGACGTAGGCGGAAGCCCGGTTTTCTCAGACGAACCGGGCTCACTGCCCTATCCCGGTTATCTCGGCGAAACCCGCACCGGCCGTCCAGCAAGCCCAGACACAAAGATGCTTGGCAGGAGTGCCCGGCCTGGTCTAGTCCGCGACCAGCGGCGACTCGTGGGAAGAATTGGATCTAAACGGTTCGGTCAGGCTTGTTTGGTCCAACTATCAAAAAAATAACCATTGGACCGGGCAACTCAGACCGGCATGGACCGAGCCCGGTCCGACTGTCAAGAAGATCGGGATCTAGATCTTACTCATCGTAATATTATTAAATATTATTTTTAAAATTTATATGAAGAATATGCAGTTAGATATTGTGTAAGTACACCAACATGCAGATTTTGCTTCTATGAGTTCAAGTCGGGGGGCAAATGTAAGAGTTTTGATAGGCAATTAATGATAGTGAGGCTAAGTGGGAGCCGTGGATCTGGATCTGAATCATCATCAAGGAATGTTTTTGAAATTGAACAATATTTATCCACACTTTTAGTTAATGCTCAAAATACTAATTTCGATATTTTGCAATGGAGGAGAGTTTATGGAACGGTTTCATATCCTATACTTTTCATCATGGCTCGTGGCTTACCAATAGTGCAGGTTTCTACAGTAGCTTCGGAATCCGCCTTCAGCACATCATGACGTTTGATCGACGACCACAAAACGTTACTAGATCCGTGTACCGTACAAGCGGTAATGTGCCTACAAGAATGATGGAGGTCCGAGAAAAGAAGTCAAGACATCGATCGGATGGCTAGTATTGAAGATAGATTTGATGAGTTGACAATAGGAGATGGAAATAGAGAGTAGAAATTACTCATTAGTTTGTATTTTTTATTTCTTAACTATAAATTTGTGATAAATTATCTTGAAAAGAGTTGCAAATGATAATGATATAAATGAGCAGGTGCCAACCTAGTTGTCATGTATTCATTTACTGTGTTGCGACAAATTCCAAAAAATATATAATTGATAGTGACTAATAAAAAAATTATTTTTTTAATTTCTATGATATTAGTATTGTAATTTGTATAGTTACAAGTGATTAATAATATGACTGAATTTTCATTGAAATTTTGCATTTTTATTTTAAAGTGCTCTTGAAATTTCAAATTTTTTTACAAAAAAGACTATTTTTAAGCAAAAAAATAAAAGGAAAATAACCGGTCTGGCCGGTGCCCGGCCTGATCGAGCCCAAACCTGAGCACGTGTCTGGGTCCCCTCTTTTTGCTCGGTACGAGCCCGAATTTTTATGCGGGGCTAGACCGTTTGAACAGCCCTACCAGCACACGAGTAGACACCTGATCTTTTATGCGGCCCATATGTTTCCTAGGATGGGGAGGGCTAAATTACCATATTTTTTTAGCCTCGTTTAATCAGTTTGGTATTTTTAGTGGTTCCGGCGAGGTTTTTATATTATCCTGAGCTAAAACTATAATTAGACCTGCGATTTCACCACATGCAAAATAAAAGCCAAAAAAGCCCATTCCTTATAACAGTTCTTAGCTGCCCAAGGTTTTTTTACTGTATTTAGAGGTGTTTTCATGCACTCTCCTTTTCTGTTCGAAAAAATATTTTATTCTAGTGAACTCAATATTTTTGCACGAGCTTTGGCATAGTAACTATCGTTATACTAATGCGCTAAATCTAGCATTTTCCTTATACTAATGTACTAAATAGCATTAATAGCATCACATGAGGTTTTGCAGATTTTTTCCACTAGCGACAGTCTAATTGAACGTTTGACTCAAAAGAATATACCAACATGTCATCAAAGTAATGTCTCGTTTGGTACGCAAGAATAAGGAGGAATGGAATAATCATTCTCACTTCCCATTCCTGATGCCAAACATACCTATTTTTTAGAAGTTGGAATGATCATTCTCACTTTATGTGAGGATGAACATTCAGAGTGAATTGATAAGGAATGATCATTCTCATTCAAGTGAGGATCAAATTAGTTACTTAATTTTTAATTATACTCCTATTGATAATTTATCAAATGAGTTAATTTTGATATCTAGAGATGTAGATTGTGGATATCATTCTTTATATTATTTTTGGACCTATGAAAGATGTGATACTCTTTTATTTATTTTTCTTTACTTTTTTAAGACTACGAAATAGTGAGTATTGTTTAAAAAATATAAACGGAACATACACCTGAGAGATAACATGTGCATTTGTATAAAACATAGCTAGATTAATGTAACCTATGCATAAATAAATTGTTTAGTTATTATCATTAATATTTATTTTTATCTTCTTAAAAATCTATGTTGTTGTAAGGACATTATCAGAAAATAAGAATTCATTTTCACTTGTGAACCAGTGATACAAAACATGGGAATGTGAATAAGATTTTCATTCTAGCTTCATTCTATAAACGCAGCCAAACAAGAGAATGTGAATGACCATTTCATTCCCACATACATTCTATTTCATTCCTTCTTCCATATATTTCATTCTCATTTGAGTTCATTCCCGCGTACCAAACAAGGCGTAAGTGTCTAAAAATACACTTGCTTACCGAAGTTAATATGAGAAGAGGTATAATACTTTTGGGTTGCAAAGCGAAAATAAGCCGACAGTTGTTGGGATTTTGTCTTTGATTCTTTATGTAACTTCATGAGAATTAGATAGGGTTAGAGTTCTATCATGATTAGGAGTTTGGGTTCTATCATGATTACGAGTTTGAGTTCTATCATGATTAGGAGTTTAGGTTTTATCATGATTAGGAGTTTGAATCCTATTCTAATTAGGAAGTTAGGCTAGAGATAGAGTTTTGGTTTCCCTATATATATTCTTCGGTGGAGGAAAAACCATGAAAAAAAAGTAGAGATGTAGTAGATGAGAGAGAGAGAGGGTTTTGTAGTCTTTATCCGTGTAAAAGATTACAAGGAGTGGGCTTTGGAGAGAATATAAGAGTTGGTTATGTATGTGAGGTTGAGAGATTGAGAGACGAGAGTTGAGTGGTTCCTCTTGTAGTTCTCCCTGATACATAGTGAATTTATCGTATTGTTGCCTCGTGGACGTAGGTCGAAGTTGGTCGACCGAGTCACGTAAATCTCAATGTTTTTTTTCTTGATTGTGGTTGTTCTATCTTATTGATTGGGGTTAGCTTCCGAGTTGCGCATATCATGGTAGGCGGAGAGACTGAAATTCCCCAACAACAGTAACATAGAGACACCGTCGCTCACTGAAATAACCTTCATCTTTGTTAGATATATTGAAAATATCTTCCCTTTCTTGTTATATTACAATGAGATTACATGTCTATATATACATACATCAACCAGCTATAAAGGAAAGAAATAAAAAGGAAGAAAATCAATGGGAAATCAATGGGCAATCCCAAATATATTGCACAATCAATGGGGAATCAATGGGCAATCCCAAATATACGTTAACACCCCCCCTCAAACTCAAGATGGGCTAGTGGAGGCCAGCTTGAGTTTGTTAAGTAAATGACAGAATCGGCCAGGAAGATGAGCTTTAGTGAAAATGTCTGCAGGCTGATCTATTGAGGATATAGGAAGAAGTTGCAAGGTGCCACGCTGAAGATGTTGACGAACAAAATGACAATCATTCTCAATGTGTTTGGTGCGTTCGTGGAAAACATCATTATGAGCAATTTGAATTGCACTTCGATTGTCACAATGGAGAATGGTAGCAGAGGATTGTGGAACTCCCATATCCTCAAGTAACCAACGGAGCCAAAGTAATTCAGAAGTAGTATCAGCTAGGGCCCGATATTCAGATTCAGTACTTGATCGAGATGTGACAGTTTGCTTTTTACTTCTCCATGAAATGAGCGAGTCACCCAAGAAGAAGCAGTAACCAGTTGTGGAGCGACGATCAGTAGGATCACCAGCCCAATCAGCATCAGAATAGCCAGTTAAAATTAAGGACGAATGAGCAGAAAAATGAAGTCCATGAAGAAGAGTGCCTTTGACATATCTTAGAATACGAAGAACAGCAGTAAAGTGAATAGACCGAGGAGCAGCCATGAACTGACTGACAACATGCACAGCATAGGCGATATCAGGACGAGTCACGGTCAGATAAACAAGACTACCAACAAGCTGTCTATATAAAGTAGGATCAGGAAGAGGTGTGCCATCAAATGGTGTTAGCTTAACATTGGTATCCAATGGTGTTGAGGCAATATTTGAATCAGTGAGACCAGATCTGGAAAGCAAATCAGAAGCATATTTGGCTTGGGACAAATAGTAGCCATCTGAAGAAGAAGAGACTTCAAGCCCGAGAAAATAACTGAGTGGTCCCAAATTTTTCATCTCAAACTGTTGACTGAGGTAGTTTTGTAAGTCAGAGATGGCCACAGAATCATCACCTGTAATGATCATATCATCCACATAAAGTAACAACAGAACAATACCCTTCTCAGTACGACGGATAAATAAGGCCGAATCATGAGGGCTAGAAGCAAAACCAAAACGTGCAATAGTGGAACTGAATTTTGCAAACCATGCTCTCGGAGCTTGCTTAAGACCATATAAAGCTCTCCGAAGAAGACAAACTTTTTGTGGAGGATGAGAATAACCAGGAGGAGGATGCATGTAAACTTCCTCTTCCAAATCGCCGTTGAGAAAAGCATTTTTAACATCCATCTGAAGAAGGGGCCAATGTTTTACTGCAGCAACAGCTAAAAGACTACGAACAGAGGTTAAACGAGCAACAGGAGCAAATGTTTCTTCATAATCAATGCCATATTCCTGAGTATAGCCTTTAGCAACTAAACGAGCTTTATAACGCTCGACAGAACCATCAGACCGAGTTTTAATCTTGTAAACCCACTTACATCCGATAGGAGTTTTGCCTGAAGGAAGATCCACTAAATCCCAAGTATGTGTTTTCTCTAAGGCATGAAGTTCCTCAGACATTGCTTGCTGCCAGAGAGGATCAGTACTAGCCTCACGGTAAGAATGTGGTTCTTGTAAAGAAACAATAGCAGAAAAACAATGATAATCTTGAAGATGATGAGGAGATTCTCTTATCCGATTAGAGCGACGAAGAGGAGGTTCAGGATCATCAGTGGAGACAGATGCTGTAGATGTGGGTGCAGAGGTGGAAGGAGAATTATCAAGCTCAACTAAAGATTCTGTATCAGAGGAAGGGAATAACTCAATGGAAGGGTCAGTGAAGAATGGTTGAGAGGCGGAAAAAGAACTATGAAATTTAGACAGAGTGGAGAACATGGTATGCTCCCAAAAAGTGACATGACGAGAAATTCGTAACCGACCAGACATAGGATCCCAACACCGATATCCTTTGTGTTCTTGTCCATATCCAAGAAAACAACAAAGACGAGCCCGCGGTTCAAGTTTGGTATGTTCATGGGGGTTAAGAAGAACAAAACAAGCACAACCAAAAACTCTAAGATTTGAGTAATCAGGTGGTTTACCATATAATCGTTCAAAAGGAGACAGATTCTGAAGGACCGGAGTAGGAAGACGATTAATGGTGTAAACAGAGGTAAGTGCAGCCTCACCCCAAAATTTTTCAGGACAGGATGCTGAAAGAAGTTGAGCACGAACAGAATCTAAGATATGACGATGTTTACGTTCTGCACGACCATTTTGTTGGGAGGTATAAGGACATGATCTTTGAACAATAGTTCCCTGCTGTTTGAGAAACTGAAGAAGAGTAGAATCTTGATATTCCATGGCATTATCAGTACGAAAAATTTTGATACAGCAAGAAAATTGAGTTGTAATCATGGTAGCAAAATCAATATAAATTTGAGATAATTCAGATCTATGCTTAAGAAAATATATCCATGTAAATCTAGAATAATCATCAATGAATAAAACAAAGTATTTGTAACCATTCACAGTAGGAGTAGGAGCAGGACCCCAAATATCAGAATGAATCAAGCCAAAAGGAGTATCACATTTAGAGTTACTATGATTAAAAGATAAGGCAGGCTGTTTTGCGAGTTGACAATGTAAACAATCAAAAGACTCAAATTTGGAAAGACCTAAAGTTCCACTAGAAACTAAAGGACGAAGTTTACTAGCGGATGCATGACCAAGACGAAGATGCCACTGGTATATTAATGGAATGGTGGTGGAAGCAGAAATCGATCTGGGAGCAGAAACTTTAAGAGATGTGAGCTCAAATAATCGTCCCACCTTGCGCCCCGTGCCAATTATCTGTCCCGTTTGAAGATCCTGAACCTGACAACCATGGGGAGAGAAAAGAACAGTTAGACCAAGATCACATAATTGACCAACCGAGGCTAAGTTTAGGGATAATTTAGGGACACAATAAGTATCAGGAAGGTTTAAATTTGAGGTAGCTGCTGTTCCAATATGGGTAATAGACATACAATTACCATCAGCAGTTTGAATGGGTGGCAGAAATTTGCTAGAAGTTTTATTAGATAAGAGAGACATTTGAGAAGTCATATGATTGCAACAAGCAGAGTCAAGAAACCAAGAATCACCTGCAGTGACAGCTAATGCAGTGGAAGATGAAGGATTGGAGGATATCACCTGTCTGAGAAGAGCTTCGAGATCGCTAACATTAAGAACAGAGGAAGGGGACTCATCAGAAGGAGCAGTAACAGCAGCAGCAGAAGAACTAGCCTTAGAGAAAAACTTAGATTTTGTTGAAGTGCCTTGAGGACGAGGTGGACGGGTTGGACAATTTTCCAAAATATGACCATGTTTGTGACAGTATCTGCACTCAATAGTAGGGCAATTTGCAAATGTATGTCCAGTATTTCTACAATTCTTGCACAAAAATGAGCCAGATGCAGAACGTGGCCGAGTGATAGCAAGAGCAACTTCCGGTGAGGGAGATTTGATCAAACCAAGACGTGTTTCCTCAAATAAGATTTCTTTAACAGCAGCATCCAAAGAGGGTAAAGGATCACGATGCAACAGAGCAGCACGAACAGATTCATATTCAGGACGTAGAGCCATGAGAACCTGAATAAGGCGAAGATGATCATCACTGATATTAGCTTGTGCTAATTGATTCCATATAGGCTGAATGACAGCAAGGAAGTCATTAACAGATTGTCCGGAGTCTTGTTTAAGACTGGCAAGAGTTGTGAGCAGTTGATAATAGTGTGCAAGACCTGTAGTTTTGTACCGATTGGACAAGAAATCCCAAATTTCTTTTGCAGTATCAAAATCAGCAAACTGGATATGAATGGCTGAAATAGAGGTGTTACATAACCAGGTAATTATCTGATGATTTTTGCTATCCCAATCTTCAAGACGTTCTGCATACTTGGTATTGTTTTCATCAGCATCTCGGACTGGTTCAACAACATCGCCAGTAATAATACGCCAAAGCTTGCGTCCAATTAAGAAGCTTTTCATTCGTTGAGACCATAGAGTATAATTAGAGCCATCCAAAATAACAGTAATAGGACGAAAGATTTCAGATTTCTCCATATCAACAAACCCCAAAGAAGAACCAAACATAAGAGAACTAAAACCCACAAAAGTCACACTTTTATGTATGACAGTTGAGAAGGAGAGCAGATCTGATCGGTTCTGGGCGACGGGAAGCGAGGATCTGACCGGAGGAGGCGACGGAAGGCGCGGATCTGGACGGAAAAGTTCGCTGGCGACCGGTTGAGCGGCGAAGCCCTGTCTGGAGGAGGAAGCTCGGTTCTTGGCGGCGGATCTGGTCGGCGCAGGGGCTGCTGGAAGCGTGGCCCGTCGGAGGAGGTGAGGGTGGCGCTGTTCTTGAGTCTGGAGCTCGGCTTGGAGGAGGTTGCTGACGAGCGGATCACGAGAGGCAGAGGCGGGATCGGGTTCGAGCTCGGCGGTGGTCGAACGGAGGTCTCGGCGGTCGGGCGGCGGTTCGCCGGCGACGCGAAGAGGGCACGAGAGGAGAGAGAGAAGATAGAGGTTGGTGATCTGATTTAAGAGCAGAGCTCTGATACCATGTTAGATATATTGAAAATATCTTCCCTTTCTTGTTATATTACAATGAGATTACATGTCTATATATACATACATCAACCAGCTATAAAGGAAAGAAATAAAAAGGAAGAAAATCAATGGGAAATCAATGGGCAATCCCAAATATATTGCACAATCAATGGGGAATCAATGGGCAATCCCAAATATACGTGAACAATCTTTAACAAGTAAATGAAATAAATTATACCGCGTAATCCCTTCCTTATT